TTAAATATCAGGAGGTGAGGCAGTGAGCAAGGCTGGCACTGTGCTGGTAGGGAGAAAGTAGCTATGTGGGTGACCTGATAGGAGAGGAACTGTTGGAGCAAGGCTGGCAAAGGAAGGAGGATGATGGTTCCAAACAAACAAGCTGATAAATTTGTTTCTGAGAATAACTGTTTTCACAGTCTGCCATTCTGTAGTGAGGCAAAATAAGCAGCCTAGTGGTCTAGTTCCCAAAAATTGTGAAGTAAGGTAAGTGAGGCAGGGGAAAGGGTAAGCTTGGCTTTAAGCTGCCCTTGAGCTGACAGCTAAGCATCTGTGAGGAGATCTCTATGAAACTGAATGTGAGGTGCATCTCATGAGCAGCAGGTGATCTGAGAGTGATGGGAACAGAGAGAAGAATTTCTCTTGCAAGTAGATGCAGAAGAAAGGGAAGTGCTGTCCTGAGCTGAGTCTTACAGACCCCTGGAGAGGGTTGAAGGAGTTACAAAGGTTGTTCTTGTACTGAAAAGCAGAGATATGAAACATTGTGTCAAAGAAGAGGAAAAAGAAGGGGAACCACTGATTTTCTTTGGTGAGAGAAAGTATTTTTAGCATTTAAGATACTAAAGCATGGCTGTGTTTTTCTGGGAGAGTAAAAGGAGGGATTAGAAGGAAGAAGGGTAGAAGTATGGCATGATGTCAATTGGGAAAAAAGTTTGTGGGAGAAGGTAGTGAAATTGTGTCCCTGATGAGATTTCTATGAAGGGCAAATAGGAGAGAGGCTGTCTTGCTCTTGTGACTTTCTTGGAAGAAATAGCAAGATGTGAGCAGGGGACTGAGCAGAACATGAAATCTCACACTTTCCACCAGCTCGATCATTTTAGTGAAGTAGAGCTGCTCTGGAACAAGCCATTGAAGAGAGAACTTGTTGCACAGAACATCTGCTTGCTTGGTGGCTTTTTGCCACTAGTGACAACCACTCTGAGACTGGGAGCAGAGCCAGAGAATGCTGTGTGAGCTGGGAAAGATGCAACTGGGCGAGAAAAAGGGAACAGAGGAACAGAGACATGAATGTGACAGCAGAGCTCTGAAGTCCCAGGTGAAGTCAGCAAGCACAAAACCATTTACATTATTTTCCCTGCTCCTCTTTCTTGCCCTCTGCTCATTCTCGCTGATAAAGCATCCCTGATTAGCCCTTGCTGGTTTTGAAAATCTCACATGAGAGAAGAAATTACAGTCTATGCAAGGATTAAAGTGTTTAGATTTCTTTCTGTTCTTGATTTTTTTACTTCATAAGAGAAGTAGGTGGCTAATGTAATTCATGTTTATTGCTAGATGTTGCTCTTTGATGTCTTCTTATTACAATAGCCTGATTTCAAAGCCAGCAATAAACTAGAGGGATGGCACCTCATAAACATAGGGCTTCATTTTTGGCCCTGTAAGCATCTTGAAACTTAAAATTTAAAGAAAAAAATATAGTTGCTCTCTTTTGCTTGCAAATAACTCCTTCATTTCACAAAATAACAGCTCTCTAAGTAAACAAACCTCAAAATCCTGCTCCCTCATCTCCTCTGACCTCTTTTACCCTTTAGCCAGAAAAAAAGCCAAAGAAATCAGTTGGTTGCTCTTGATCAGCCTGTCTAAGTTTTGATCAGCTAGCTGTGTCTTCCTTCTTCTTTAACACAACTTTTATCTGAACACTCTTCTGGGCATCTGTTTTTGTTCGGTGTTCCTGTCTGATGTGTTGCATTTGTTGTGAGTTTTTGTCATCAAACTGCAGACAACAGCCAGTGACTGGCTGATTGAGGATCTTGAGAGGGAGGTTACTTTTGTGAAACAAAATGTACAGTTCTTTCTTAGTTGTTTTTTTCAGTCATAATGAGCTCAGTCAGACTAAATTCTTTTTAAGTTCTCTGCGATCCTCCTGTCCTCTGACTTCTGCAATACTGGATGCAGTATTTGCACTAGTTAAATAGGCCTGAGTAATTTACTTCATTATGGAAAACTAATCTGCTTGTTAAAACTGTTAGTTTATCAAACAATGTAATACAGTATTGTTCTGGCAGAGACTGCTGGCAGACACCAGCCCTTGTGTATCTTTCTGTGAAGGGACGTGATAAGATGAACTTTGTGACTTAGACAAGCAGATCAGTCATTTTGGCTATCAGAATTCGTAGTTTCTGTAAGATACAAGGTGGATGTTATCTTGAAATCCCGTCTGAATACAATGCAGAGCCTCCAGTCTCCAAGCTGAGTGGTACTGCAAACCCCATTATTGCTGTGATACTCTCTATCAGCCTCATTAGGGATGATGAATGAGCTGAAGCAGTTTTTTCCGCTCTTCTGAAAAGACCTGCTGACAATGGTTGCTGCTAGTGTATGTGCACAGGCTGAATAAATCAGCTAAACTATTACTACAGTAATACTAACCTTTAAACAAAAAGAAGGTCATTCTCATTATCTGCTTAAATCTCTTGACTCTTCCCTTCTCCTCTATGGAGTCACCTTCTAGCTCACTTGCCTCAAAAAGCTGGGTCATGCAGAAAGCACAAGTGAAATCTTTTGCATTTGTTTACTATTGTGCTATTCCCAGGCAAATGAAATTGACTCTTGGGCTTTCCTAGGGCTGAACATGTGAACAAGTCAATTTGACTGTACAGCATTCCTGTCAGACCTCGGTGCCCCAAGCCTGCAATGGCATTCCCACATGTCAGGCTCCACTGATCCTGTAGTTTCCAGTGTGCCTGCAGGGGCTAGGCTGGGAGGCTTGGCCCTTTTGCCAGCTGTCTTCTCATGTGGCAACTCAAGCTGAGCTTTGGGTCATACCAGCCAAGTGCAAGTAACCATCCTCAGTTCTCTCCTCTGTCCTTTTCCGTGTCACTTTCCTGCTGGGTGCAATGTCCCTGCACAGGACCTGAGCCCTATCCTGGCTGTGTTGGGCAGAGCAGGTTGGATGGGTTCCCTCAGCAGACCGTGGGTCCGAGGGGGCTGTGTAGGGGGGTGTTGTCCTGCCTGGGGTAAGATTGCGCAGCAGCTGCTTCCTCCAAAGTACCAAGCGTGCTAATGGTCCCGAACAAGCTGTCCAGTAAACAAATGGTTACTGGGATTGGTGTCTGAATGCCCTGGCATTTTGGCTAAGGGAATCCCAAGGAATCCCAGGTTCCTCCTTCAGGTGTGCAGAGCAGTAGATGCAGCTCTAAGCAAAACCTACAAAGACCTTGTTCCTGTCCCATTAGTTTATCATGTAGACAGGTGTTAAACTTGGCACTCGAAGATGGCTTTTTCTAGGTTGAATCTAAGAAAAAGAAAACTTTTGGATACTTTTTAAATAAGAAGACTTTAGCTTTTTCTTTTTGGTTTGAAATGTGCCCACAGAAGTAAGCTGGCACTCAGATTTTTCTGGGGAGGAGCAGGGGGTGGAGGACAAAGGAAGACTGTTTTTTCCTCCATTGGAACCAGCTGTGGTTTGCTCGCCTTTTGTGCATTTGGATGGGCACTCTGAAATCCAAACTGGAACTAGCAGTTAATATTACAAACAAGCAACATAATTTGACTAAACAAGCTTTCAGATGATCACAACTAGGCTTTGATGCTCAGGAGTGGGATTTTCATAACTGCGGAAGTAATTTGAGAACATGCTTGTGCCCAAAGCCAATAGGGTTATGTTGGCTTCTTTTTTTTCCTTTTTGCTTGAAGATGACTATGGTGATGATTCATACTTTTGTTAGTCTCAGCAGAAGAGTGGCTTGCATGTATAGTTGATTTAACAGCTGAGAACCTCTAAGCAAGTCATTCTCCATTTTGAGGAAGAATTTGTCTAGAGGAGATTCTCCCCCTTTTTATTTCTTTTGTGTGCTTGTTAGCTCTGTGTCTTTGGTTTCTAGCCCTGGTATTGGCTGACTTTGCAGATAAGAACTTCCATGAGGTACTAGTTACAGTCTTGCTTGTTCTTGGATTTGTGGCTGTGGTTCCATGTGCTCAAGAGTTAAGGTAGTTTTAGAAGTTTGGTTGATGAGCAGTAGTTTACTCATACTATACAATCTGAAATATTAAATTAAATGTACCAAAAAGGTGATTTAAGCTGTTTCATCTAACTAGATGTCTGTTTTAATTATCTTAATTTCCTTAAATAGGGGATCGGATTTTTCTCTTCTGTTCTTAACAGCGTATTTTGTTCCTAATATCAGAAATAAGGACCATTGAAATATTCTCCTCAGTCACTTTGACTTACTTTAAACAGCTTCATGGATTTATAACATTTTCTATTGTCTTCTGTCAAATCACACTCTCCTACCCGTGCTATATTTTTTTTTTTGGACAATCACTTAATGGGCTATAAAGCTTTAAAAATAAAAACCAGTGGAGTGACAGAAAAATTAAAGCCATGAAAACTAACTTTCCTTCTGCTGCATGGACTGCCAGGAAATTCAGGGGTCATGTAGAGTGAGTGTATTTTCTAATAACAAGCCATGTGCTCACATACCATGCTTCTTTAAAGGTCTTGTGGTTGGGATCCCAGTGGGATTGATGGGAAATGTGCAGAGAATTTTTAAAAGGTTGTTTGAATAGCTGAAGAACTTCTTTTGAAAGCAGTAGAGTGAATATTTCTGCTTTGGACAAGAATGGTTCTGTGGATGCTTGAGAAGATGATAATGAATGATGGACCTTCAAAGTTAAGTCCTACAAATGCAGTTATCCTCTAGAGGATTTAATGAAAGCTTAATATTTAAAAAATGTGAATTCTTTTAAGATGGAACATTTGAGTGTACCTGTGGTGTGTTGGTAGCCATGGTTATGTTCTGATGGGAGGACCCGTTAGTAGACTTGAAAGCGCCAACTTGTGACTGTATTCACCAGGAATAGGTTTGAATAGTAGAAGCTTGTCTCAATGATATCAGAAGTCTTTTCCAACCTGATTGATCCTGTGGCTCTAAATCTATGAAAAGAGAGGTGGTGTTTACCACATTCAGGTGCCAGACTGGAGCATTGGCCTGTGGTGACACATCTGCTGATGCTCTGTTTGCTTTCTCTTGCAGTTTGGAGCAGAGTTCAGAAGGTTCTCTCTGGATCGCTACAAGCCAGGAAAGTTTGAAGACTTCTACAAACTAATTCTTCACATTCATCACATAGCCAACCTGGAAGTGATGATCGGATATGCTGATGTGCATGGAGACCTTCTCCCTATTAACAATGATGACAATTTCTTCAAGGCCGTTTCAAGTGCTCACCCACTGCTCAGGGTTTTTATCCAAAGACAAGGTAAGATGCAGTTTCATTTCACTGCCTCAAAGTGTGCTGTGGCAAGGCAAAGAGTGGATTTATGGTACCCATTTAAAGGCTGAAATTATGTAAGAGGCATCTAGGGGCCATCTTGCTCTTCCTCACAGGCACTTCATTGCAGTTGGGAGGAATGGCATGGCTTCATGGCAGGTAGATGGACTGCATTGCTGCCTGTAAGATGTTGGAAGGATACCATGCTGAGAATCATCATGAGCCCCTTTGTTGTCTGAGGTGAATGTACCCTGTGCTGCTGGTACTGTGTCATCACCTGAGCATGCTGAGGGGAACTTAGTGCTACTACTTCGTGTTTAGAAATCTTACCTATCCATCTTGATAGTCTGTGTCATACCCAAGTTATTCATGCCTGTGTGTGAATGCACACAGATGTGTAGTTCTGAAAGGGAAAAAAAAAATTATCACAAATGGCATCTAATTTGACTATGCTAACCTGGCAAATGGGCAAATTATGATTTTTTTTTTTACCCCTCTGACTTTACACTAAGGAATGGTGATTCTTCCCATTTTGAATCATCAAGCAAACCTTGGGTAGAATTGCCTGAATGTCAAGATGACATCAGGTTAAAGTGGCCTGTCTGCTGTTCTCTTCAAGGACTGTGTTTGGCAGTCACTTCAGAAGAGGATCGGCTTTTATAACAAGGTGTCTTCTCACAGAGCTCCTTAATTCCCAGGGAAACCTAACTCTATTTTAACACTTCCTCCACAGGTTTTTTTTTCACCCATGTAGTGATTTATAGCACAGGCTTTTGGAATTAAAGTCTTGTCAGCAACAGATTCAGAAACAAGACTTGATTTGAGACTTGGAGCAGTCATGTAGCTTTTTTTGGCCTGGACTCTTGCTGTGTACTGATAAGGATTTAGCAAGAGGCTTCAACCTGCTCATCGGTGTGAGCTGGTGTAGTGTGTGGTTTGATTTGGTGTCATCAAATACATCCAGGGCTGTGTGGCTCCTGTCTGTTCAGAGCATATGGTCTGCCCCCTTTTAGATGTGATTTTTAGATGCTCAAGGAGCCAATTGAGAAGAGGGTTTGGAGCAGTTTGTTTAGTTGGTCTGTCTGTTAGGTGAATGGAAATGTCTGTGGGAGAAAACTTGCTCCTACTTCTTGAGCAAAAAGTGCAAACGTGGATTGCAAGTCTGCTTAGGTCTTCTTGCAAACCTGTTGGGGCTTGTGAATGTTCATGGTGGGTCAAGTCTTTGTCATGCCTACTTGAGTTTTAAGTTTATTCTTATCTCTGGATCAGTCCTATTCAGAACACACTTGTCCATGCTCTGGACAGACTGCTGAAGCCAGTGACTTAACCCTGCACTGGGATGGGTTTGCCACTGAGATGCTGATCACAAAAGTAGGCAAATCAGAGAACTGTGGTCTACGTATAGAAAAAAATCTCCCTCTTCTTCTAGGAGAAGTGTGCTTGTTATTAAGGTTTCTAACTTTGAACCTTAATGGGAAAGGGCAATATTTCCTTTTTAAAAAGCTTTTATTTTACCTGTTGCTCAGTGAGAAGAATCATGCTGACAAGTGAAGGAAGACAGGCCGGTTCTTCCTCGCGTGTGGCAAAGCCTGAAATCTTTCCCAACACACCTTCTCCTTCTATAAAGCTGAAGGGAACAGTAAATTCTGGCCCATCCCTTTGCTTAGTGCTAACTTTCATAAGGGACTCCTGAGGTTAACATTTGAGATTTGTACATGTGGATGGTCCCTAACAGTCATGCTCATTTCCTTTGCTTGTACAAAGACTTTTGGAAATGTTTCTCTTCAAGAATGAAGGTGCAATCTTCATCTCGTTTTCCTTTGCTCTGCTGGGGTGATAGAGCAGTGCTGGTCCTTCCGTTGGAGACCTGCACAAGAGAACAAGGTGACTAGCACCAAGAAATCATTGTACCATTCAGGGGAATGTGGTGTGCCTGCACCCTAAATTCTGACTTCAGAGGCAGGAAATCAGTGTGACAGGGATGCAAGTAAAATATATGAGCAGTGCTGTCTTGGCGCTTTGAAGGAGACTGCGGAGCATGGGCTCTCTAGGCTGTTGGATCAGGGATCACTGCTTTTCCGTGGGAGTAGTCCTGGGAGCTGGCTGCCAGAAGTTGTTGCAGAGTAGGGAGAGTTTCAGGGAACAGGGCACAAGCATGCAGGCATGGAAGGACTGAATAGTTGAAGGTCAGGTCTCTTTTTCTAGCAAAGCAAACTGTTTATCAACTGCATGATTAGTCACCCTGTCTGTATTCCCAGTTTACCCTTTCTCTTGTCAGGTCAATTTCACAGTCATGTTAAAACACTTAAAACATTCTCAGAGTGGCAAAATAGGCAATTTAGTCTTTGCACAATAATCAAGCACCAGTTTCCTAGTTTGATATTTTTGCTTGCCTAGGTGTTTTTCATCTGAGCTTAGTCTTGCACTTTTTCAGTTCAAAAGCCTTTCTTTCACTTGTCCCCAGAGGCCAACATTGTGCTCATTGCTTGGACTCTTCTACGCCAGGTTTGTGTGTCCAGGTATGGGATGGCTGTTTTATTCCCCTTTCTCCCTTATTTTTTTTTTTTTTTTTGGGTTCAAATCCCTTGAGCCCCAAATTTTTCAAGATCACAGTGGTTCCACACAGGGGATGTTAGTGCTTATTAGCCAGCCATTCTAATAAGGACTAGAATTGGTGTTCCCAATGTGCTTGCAACAATTGCTGTTCATAGTTTTTGGGTCTTGATGAATCTGGGACATTTGCAAGTTAATGTTTAAGTAAATTCAGCTATAGCAAGTTTTTGTATCTCATTGTGATTTGTCTGCTTAAAGTATATGGTACTCTTTCTTCTCCAATACCAAATTACAGTGTGGACACAAATCCTAATTAGAGAACCAGGTTATGAAAAGGAAAAGCAGTTTTCCTTTGACTTGCTTTCCCGAGCTGCAAGTATGGGTCATGTCCTGTGTTGTAAACTGATGTGGCTCTTCTGGCATTGTTAGTACAGTAGTGATTTACATCAGCTGATGCTTTGAGCATGAGGATTTGTTCACTCAGCTCTAACTGATACCAGACATACACAGAACTCCCTATGGAACGTGCCTGCTGCTGGGGAAGGGGTAGATGTCTCAAAGACCTTAGAACAATGCAGGAACCTGAGGATGTGTTTGACTTGCTCCTGAATAACTTTTGCATTTTAGCCAAGACCTGCATCAAGGAAGAGCTTATCTGATGGTGCTGATCATGTTTTTCAAGACTGTTTGGTCTGAAACTGACTTAAACTATAGCACTTGAAACAATCTCTTGTATACTGCAAAAATATTTAAGTGTAAGCTATGAATTCAAGCAAAAATCAGAAAAACTGAAAGGAGTTAGTACTATGTACTGTGAAGGCATTACATTATTTCTTGTATGATTAAATGAAATGAAATTATTGTAAAATCTTGCTTTAATGCCTGTATCACAGAGGCACAGCATTTGTTCAAACTGATCTGTATTGGAGCATCTTAAATAGAATGGAATAAATAGCAGAATTATAATGAGTTCTTCACTGTAAACCTGACTCAAAGGACACTTTGAACTTTGCAGGAGGGGTATAAGGATGTAGGTGGAGATCTAGCAAGTAAAAGAGATTTGAGAATTTCTCCTCTTTTGCTTGTTACCTACTGGGGTGTGTTCAACCTAGAAAGTTCAGAATCTCAAGAAAGTGTGGCAAAATGAACAAGCTGATCACCCTGTAAGTACTCTGTGCAGTGCTTTTATTCCAACATTTCTTTTTTCCAGGTGGTACGTCTAGGGCCAGGTATAGCAAGCAAAGTGGACAGAGTATGGTTAACTGAGCACACCACTGTAAATCCAGGCTAATGATTCTGAGATACTGGGAGAACCCATAAAGGCTGATGATGGCCAGACCTTTGCTTCCTACCAGGCTGGGCAGGGTCTATAGTGTTTGCACGGGCACTAACAGAAAATCTGCTGTAGCTCAAGTTGCAAAGGAGGTGGGAGAGGTGGTGCACAGCCTGTCTGGTCTCATCCTGATGCCATACTGAGGTCAGATGGACTCGCCTGAGAAGCCTTTCTGTTTTGTCCACAACGGAGGTATGTTCTGATTCTATAAAAATAACAATAAATTAATGAATGTGGGGCACTTTGTCAATCCTTTAGCAAATTCTAGATCAAATTCATAACCTTTCCATGAGTAAAGTTAATTTTAAAGCTTTCAAAAGGTTTAAATAGTTTCATTGTAAGTGTCCTGCAAGCAGATGAGACAGATGAAGCACTGAAGTGTCAGGTGACAAATTTATTTCAGGTTAACTTTGTCAAGTATTACACTTCTTGCAGGAACATGAAAGGCAAAAAAAACCCTGAACAAGCAGAAGAGCATTCTAGCAGCATGCTAAACCACACTCCACAGCAAAATGGAGCAGGTCCTTATAAATTAGTAAATACCACAAATTAACTGCAGATGTTAATTGACATGGATGGAAGTTAGAGAAGGCTGATGACTTCTGATGTCTGTGTTGTGTTGTATTTTGCAGTCTGGAGAACTGATAGTGTGTAAAAAGCTATCAAGTACCACCTTCAGAAACTTGGTATTAGTGTCTTTTCTTTTGTAGTTATATTTTTTAATAGTCCATTACTGTTACAGTAAACCAGTACTGAACACCAGTCATTACTTTTCTCCTTGAGTGGTTAGAACTGCTGTCTACCATCACTTCTTACTTAAAGCTTTAAAGGTCCAAAATCAACAGGGGAAAAATGTGCGTTTACCTGGTTGGGTTTTGGACTTGGCTTGTTTTAATGTAAAGATTGGAAGATGTTGTTTTTCTTCAACTGCATACAGTGACTAATGTAGTTAAACTGCTGTGCCATGCAACATATTTGTGCATGTTCAGAAGCCATTCATAACCCTGCAATTTGTTATTTACCTGGCAAAGTTTTGTGCAGCTCTAAGTACCAACATCTGTGCTTAGCTTTCTTGTATTATAAAATCAGAGCGATCACACTC